AAAAATTCACATAATTTTTAGTCACAGAATGACGAAGCCCGGTCCTCCCGGCAGGACGCTTTTCGCTTTATTTAAGAGACTGCCTAGCCTAGGTTTATAAATTTAAAGACTCGATATTTACATCATTTGAAAGCTTGTTTCATTACCTTTCCAACGATATATTTAGTTTTATATTTATCTGCTTCCATATTAATTTTATAGAGCAATTTCGAAGGGACTCGCGCCTGAGTATTACTCAGATATACTGAAAAATATTAAAAATGAATTTTTTTTTAATTGAACAATTAGGTTTCATTCTTTGAACGTTTCTGAAGAGAAAGAGACTTGTCCGGCCAAAAAATATTGATTTTTGGGGATTTTACATTAAATTTACGAAAAAATGTTTTTTTCACTGTTTAGAAACATAGAAAGTTTGAAGGCTTTGAAAAATGGTTTAATATTATTATTTTAAAAAGTCAAAAGTATTGATTTTTTTGTCTTTTCGTCTACTTTAATCCCAAGGAGTTCCAGAAAAGAAAAGTTGAATTCCCTTTTTTTAAAAGCCTTTTTTTCGGAACGTCCTTCCGGCAGGATGGGCGATTGGACGATTTATCACTAAGTGTACGTAACCCCTTAAACCAACCGAATTACTTCTGCATTTACTAGTCGCATATGATCTGACTAACTGCAGACTAAACCGGACTAATTACGGATTCAATAGCTATAAAAAACGATCCCACTTTTTATTCAGGGTATTTGCCTATAGTGAATAAAATATTTAATTCTGCAGTCAATTTGTTTTTACAATTTCTTTTCGTAGCACTTCATAAATTCTATTATGAATTTGAACTCCCATGCGAGCGTGGTATAGTGGTTAGTGTATTCGATTTCGGTGCGATATAATGTTAGATAAGTGTAGGTTCGAATCTCCAAGCGTTAGAAATTTTAAATTAATGTAAATAAAATTGCGATAGGTAAATCGAAAAATATGTTGAATGTACCATAAAGTAATAATAATTAATATGTGTAACTTGTATAATTATTTTTTTAATAACATTCACTAAATTGTCTGGACTAATTTTTGACTGTTTCGGACTAATTCCGTATTCACTAGTTAAAATTAACTGATTAATGTCGGACTTCATCGGACCAACTCCGGATTCACTAGTTGTTCACAAATCGTATAGAGTTCGGATTTTTCCGGATTAATTTCGGGTGACAAAAACCTGACCATAAACCGCATTGTATCGGACAAATTTCGGATTAGTCCGAAATGTGTCCGGTTTTTTAACCAGGGTAATTTTTACAAATTATTTCGAATGTAGCAAAATTTACTCCAAAAGTAGTAAACATTGACAGAAATACTTTACAGGAAATTTTTTTTACTATAAAAGTAGTAAAAGTTACTTTATATTTTTCTCCGTGTAAGACTGAACATGACAAATTGTTCTAAAGTATGAAGCAAGTCATCGTAGCAAGCGAGCGTGATTGGGTGGTAACGCACATAGCACCGAAACTTTCCTAAAAATTTATTAAGGGGGATCCCTCATGAAAAATGTGCAAAATATGTAAAAATTCAAAATTTTACAAAAATTATATTTTTTATATTATGTTAGGTTGCAGAGGGCGTCAAAATCGATGCTTTTATTTTGAGGCGTTCCGCGGTTGCCACTAAAGAACATATTTTTTAACAATATGCAAAAAGTATTAGACAGAAACATCCATCCGTTTACTCAGAATCCGTGCAACCGATTTAAAAAACAGTGTTTTGAGAAAAACACAGTTAAAGTTTAAGTACGATTTTTTCATATTTATTGTTAAATGGATTTTATAAGAGCTTACCAAATTTTAATTTGCTTTTCATATTCGTCGCGAGCCTTTTTATTGTTAAAAACAATACAAAATTGAGTAATTCAATGCATTTGTCTAAAAACATGAACTGATACTTATAATGCTAACTCGCAAACCGAATAAGATATTTTAACGTTTTTGGTCTTAAATTAAAGATGAGACTTAAAGAATCAAACCTACATAAGCTTTAAATTTTGTCTGCAATTTTTAAAAATAAGACAGAGATTAAAAAATTGTCAAGAAAACTTTAATTTTTTAATTTTCTTTTTAAAATTTGTCGATTGGTAAAATCTTTGTGTAATTTCTTAAAATTTTGAATTGTATATAATTTAACATAAAATATTATGAGCTTTCAAAAGGTAGATTTGTTAAGTTTCTGACATTAGTTTTTACGGAAATATCATGATTTAAAGATTGGTATGTTTTTGGGCCATGCACGTGGAGCCATTCTAATGGCAGTATGATGTACTATAACTTTTGATAAGAGATAAACTATGATGAATTTGTTGGAATTAGGAGTGTTAATATAAATAATTTTGGTATAGATTGAAAGGTTGGTATTATGTGAACAGTATTTGTGGCCCTAAAATGTTTATTTTTCATGAAATAAAAATAATAATAATAATAATAATATTATAATTATAATTATTATTATAATTATAATTTCTGTATGTACGGGTGTTTCTAAATTAATGTCCCGATTATGAAACACCTATTTTATTCAATTAGTAAATAAAATTGTATTAACATATCCCAATAATTTGAATATCAACTATAAAGAATTAAATACAAAGAATAAATTCTAGTTAAATAGATAATTATATAATCCATTTTTTGGTAGAAAAGTAATGCGAAAATACTGAAAATGTTTGAGGTTGTGTTTGCTGCGTATATTTTTTGTCTGTTCCATCAATCGGGACATGAAAATAATAAGTGTACCTAATATGAGACGGTAGTTTGACAGTAAACCTGGCTAACCTTAATTTGAAAGCTAAAATGCAATTAAAAATTTCTTTTTAAATTAAATACTACACAGAAATAATAATTCTTATATCGTGTAAAATTTATTGAAATAACTAGAATATTCTTATCACCAATTTTAATTGCATTTATTTTAATTTTTGTAATACTGTTCCATAATAGGGACAAAATTATGAAAGCGTTTCATAACTGGGACCTTTACCTTATTAATCTCGTGACATATAAATTCGTTGACAAGCTGTTTTGACAACTTTTCGAGGTTTGTTTATGGAAATTTAAAGTATATCCAAAGATATCTCAGAGATATTACTGGGACATAAGTACGACGTCCTACAAATACACAGGTCCACAAAAAAATCGATGAAAGGTTCCCTTGACCAAACATGGTGTATTATATGTATTTTGGGCCACTGAAACCGAATCTGAAGTCCGTTTTGCTTCATCACGTCAGGATTTTTTCCTAACCTCAAAATGCATGTCGGATTTTGCATGACAGAAAAAAATTTAAAAATATTAACGGATTTAGCATTTAGCCTTATTTTGGGATAGAGGTGTTTTGAGGGATCCCTGATTACGAAATTAAAGGCAAATTTTCAAAATACAAAATGGCGAATTCAATATGGCCGTCAAAATTTTCAAAAAATTCTTCAATTTTTAAGAAATTCTTCAATTTTTATAAAATTTTGTATCGAGGGATTTTCGAGGTCACTGATTACGAAATTAAAGGTAAATTTTTAAAATATAAAATGGCGGTCAGAAAAAAACATTCTTAAATTTTCATAAAACTTTGTACCAAGGGGATTTTATGGTCGCTGATCACTTATTTAAAGTCAGATTTTAAAAATACAAAATAGCAAATCCAATATGGCTGTCGGATTTTTACAAAACTTAGTATCTGTGAGTTTTTGAGCTCGCTAACTATGATTTTGAAATCAGATCACCCACCAATGTAGAGCTGCGGTTGCTTGATGACGACGCCTGCAGGCCCGCCAGCCGTCGATACTGGGGTTCCGACTCCCCGCATCGTACTTTTTTTTCGTGTGCCTACCATGACGGCGTAAAGGTTAGTTTAAAATGGGATTAGTGTCAGGTACACGTACAACTAAACCCATTGCAGACTCACCTTAAGGAGCGGGATGCAGGGAGCCGGATCACGGAACAACTCCGTTGCCCGCCGTCACCACGTGGAGGTGCCCTGGATGCAGGCTCACGATGTAATTTGTGGGCAGCGGCCCTAAATCTTCTAGATACCAAGTTTTGTGAACATTAAAGAAATTTTTAAAAATCCGACAGCCATATTGGATTCGCTATTTTGTATTTTGATAATCTGACTTTAAATAAGTGATCAGCGACCCCAAAAACCCCTCGGTACCAAGTTTTATGAAAATTGAAGAATTTTTTTACCGCTATTTTGTATTTTGAAAATTTACCTTTAATTTCGTAATCAGTGACCTCAAAAATCCCGTGATACAAAATTTTATAAAAATTCAAGAATTTCTTGAAAATTGAAGAATTTTTTGAAAATTTTGACCGCCATATTGGATCCGCCATTTTGTATTTTGAAAATTTGGCTTTAATTTTGTAATCAGGGACCCCTCAAAACCCCTCTATCCTAAAATTAAGCTAAATCCGTAAATATTTTTTAATTTTTTTCTATCACGCAAAATTCGACATGTATTTTGAGGTTAGGAAAAAATCCTGACGTGATGGAGCCAAACGGACTTCAGATTCGGTTTCAGCGGCCCAAAATACATACAATACACCATGTTTGGTCAAAGGAACCTTTCATCGATTTTTTTTTGTGGACCTGTGATATCCATAAATATCCCCTAGACATTCACAGAATATCTTGTGCTGTACGGGATCTTTTATTGTTTAGTTGCTGTCTTAACTTTAAAAAATTTTGCAAACTGGCCGGTTAGGATTTTTATCTATAATATTGCATTTATATAATTTACAATGACAATAAAAATAAAGAATCATGTGAACAATAATAATAATAATATAAAAAATAATACAGGATTGAATTATAACGAAATAAATATTTTTTTAATAACAAAACAAAAATGTTTCACATTATCAGGGAAGCAATATTAAAGGGCCGGAGATATTGACACCTGGCCGGTTTGCCCCACTCTTCCCTAATGTTTCAGTAGAAATTAATAACCTATGTAATACTAAAATTTCAGAAGATGGCAGCCAAGAGACTGAGAAAATTATGGTTAAATGATGTAGATAAAGAAGTACCTCGAACTACAAAGTATCGCATGAGATTGAATTCCAGAAAAGACTACAATTTAATTCCTCAAAACGTAACTACATAATAGAAATATATTATATTTAAGTAGGGTAAAAGCAAAACGAACCTTGTTTTTTGTTATCTTTTAGTGAATTAAGGTCATTGCACCAGTTTATGAAGGCCTAATTCGTTTTGTGGAAAGAGGTGTAGAAACTTATTCATAAACATTTTAATCATATACAATTTAATAATTAGTACATTCATTAACCTTTGTGTCCATACCCAACAAATTCTACGTTGTCTCGCACCCGGGGTACCCGGGTACCCACTAAAGCAAAAAATTTATAAAAAATAATCTGAGCAGCAGAACTAGGGGTATTTTGTCAATAAAAATCAATAAAAAAGTTTTTTTGTTATAAATAAATAAAAAATTAGTTTAAACTATAGATATGCAGTGTCAGCACTCTGGGAGGCTGAGACAAATTGTTTAAAATTCATCAGATTCACATGAAATTTGTTACTCGGGGTTTTTTGGGGTCGCTGATTACGAATATGATGTCAGATTTTAAAATTCAAAATGGCGGATCCAATATGGCGAACGACAATTTAAAGATTTCATTAGATTCACATGAAATTTGGTATTCGGAGGTTTTCACGGTCGCTGAAAACGAATATGGGGTCAGTTTTTAAAAAATCAAAATGTCGGATCCAATATTAGTAAACGCCATATTGGATCCGCCATTTTGAATTTTCAAAAATTGACATCATATTCGTAATAAGCGACCCCAAAAAATCCCGAGTAACAAATTTCATGTAAAACTAATGAAATTTTTAAATTGTCGTTCGCCATATTGGATCCGCCATTTTGAATTTTAAAAATCTGACTTCAGATTCGTAATCAGCGACCCCAAAAACCCTCGAGTAACAAATTTCAAGTTAATCTAATGGCAAATATATGTATATGTGTTAATACAAAATAAAAGCTTTATTTGCAAATTATTGTATTATTTTTATTTTATTTGCAAAATTAAACTTGTAGATAGTGCTCTCTCTCGCGGAAAGTTAACCAAAGTTCGAGAAAAATATGTACGAAAAACGTCACTATGTACATAGTTCTCTACTTTTGTGACTTTTGAGATCAGTTTACTGACTAACCTATGTACATAGTGCTCGTGAATCAGGATTTCAGGGGTCAAGTGGGTTGAAAATCCTGAAAATTTTGTAGATAGGTCGTCTACTTCTGCAGATAGTGCCACTTTAAAAAATATTTCTCGAAAATCTCAGTAGATAGTTTAATTAACCGCTAATTATCTTCTAATCTAATTAAAATTTTCAATTACGAATACGACTATTAAATTCGACTTTTCATTACGAATCCAACGGTATAAAGAACTCATTTTTCATAAAATATGTAGATAGTGCCTTTTTTAAACTGGACGGCAGTATAGTTTAAAATAATTTTTTTATTTATTTATAACAAAAAAACTTTTTTATTGAAGAAATTGATTATATTTAACATAAATATCGAAGATCTGGAGCGCTGAGACAAAATACCCCTGGTTCTGCTGGTCAGATTATCTTTTATAAATTTTTTGCTTTAGTGGGTACCCGCGTACCCCGGGTGCGAGACAACGTAGAATTTGTTGGGTATGGACACAAGGGTTAACTTGTACAAGAAAACTCAAAATCTTGTATAGGAACTTATACACGATTTTATACAAGTAGAGTAGGTTGCAAAAATAATTGAAACCTACTGTACATAAGTCTAATAGTTACCTTGACTTATTCTTTTTTATTTTTTCATTTATTGGTTTATAAACCTGTCTTCAGCCTTACAAGTGTTTATACATTTTCCGTAATTTTTCTTTTTACAAATTTCCTTATTATCAAACTTAATACTGAATTTGGCGTCTACAGAACGGCTTAAAATTAGGAGTACTCGCATTTGCCTGGACCACCCGTCTAATGGGTTTTCTCGACAGCGGAGAGGGAAACTGTAGAAAACCTCTCCTGAGTACAACAGGTTTATCGACAGTCGAGTTCTAATCGTGTGTAACGGACAATATTCTACGGTGCACATCATTATACCTAGACGTCAAACCTCCCGCTCAGATTATCTCACGTTCCGGAAAACCAACATTCTACATCCATTTTTAACCCCATTTTTTAACTGTTTTATGGGTGAAAAAAGGGGTAAAAAAAGGGTGGTTTGGAAAAAAATCCAAACCGCCGCCATTTTCTCATTTTTTTTCAAATTCATTTTTTGTGGTTTATACCATAGCCACTGACATATATTTTAAGAAATTCTTTGGATTTTTTGTTTCCGACATTTTGAAGCAGACATATCGTGTCAACCAGTTTTTTCCGGACAATCGTTTCAGCCGCCATTTTGTCACCATGAAGGGCAGAATAAATAAAAAAATATTTTTTTTTAATCCTCAATATATATGTTAATATGTGTGAAAAGAACCCAGTGTTATACTTCGCACAGACATTATTTCTATATTTTAGTTTGTTTGTATTAAGAAAAGATGGACATTTTTAGTGGTTTAAATAAAATGTGCGGGTTCTGGGACCTTTTGAGACGGGAGTGAACATTTTTGTACTGGAAGTGGGGGGAAAAAGCAGTGTGGCGACGGAGGCCTAACAAAACTGTACTAAAACTCACGCTCGTCTTTTTTTACGATATTTCAAAGTATTTTCTCAATCATTTTTTATATAATCAGTTACATAATAATTTACCTTTCATAAATAAAACCTGTACCATTTTAAATCCAATCAAAATAAATAAATTCATAACAAATCATAACTATCATCATTCTGAGTTTAACCATAAACAATCACACCAAGTGTTTCGATACATTTTACTATGAAAAAATAAATGTTGAAAAAACAAGGCAAAGGTGGTGTCCGGTCCCCTTAAGTTTTTAAAATTGTCCTTCAGCAACAAGAGTTGCCCTCGACCTCCACTCGTGTCACAAAAATCATCGTAAAGCAATTGGCTGGCTTTATTCTCGTGTTACTTACGATATTTTTTATTCCTAATGTACAAAAGTGGCCATTTCAGATAGCATACGACAGGGAGTAAAAGTCATTCACTTGTTCGAAATGTATGAAAATGGCGGCCGTTTTCTCCCATGCGCAAGAAAAATGCATGTGAACAGCTAATTTTCTTGCCCATGGGAGAACACGGCCGCCATTTTCATACGGTCAAAGAAATGAATGACTTTCCTCCCTGTTGTCAGCTATCAGAAAGCGACATTTTTGTGTACGTGGAATAAAGTGGAATATTCGTCCTTCAATTTAATGACGGTCAGGCCATAAACATCACCATTTTTCCCCAGTACAATTTCAGTGCTAAAACGCAGCAAATTTTTACTGAAATAGCACTGAGCGTTCAGTACTAATTCCCCAGTACAATATTTCAGTCCATTCTTGCGGCAGGGATGGGTCAAAAAATGTATTTAAAAAATTCTTAAAAAAGCAAAACGATAAGGCGTTCTAAATTTATTCTAGTTTAATAATTTACTCTCTAAATCTGAATCAGTGAAAATCCACTAAAGATCAGTGAAAATTACTGGAAATTTTTCTCACGCATATTGAAAATTTCATTTATTCTTTAATTGCCCAATCAGTGAAAAATGACTGAAATTTCAATCATTTTTAACTGATTTTCAGTGAAATTTCACTGATTCAAATCGCGAGAATAGAGTCACTGAAAATCAGTCAAATATCACTAATTCAGTTTAAGAGAGTATCAAGAATTTTTGATTCAGATAACCTGGTGAGGCTGTGAAACGCACGGCGCATAAGAAAATACGGCGCCGTATGTAGTTAAGTTACAGTCGCCATTTTTAATTCTTTTTTTAATATAAATAATTATACAACCGACAGATTAGCTCAGTCGGATAGATTCCTCGCTTGGTGGTCGTTTAAGGACTAAGGGTAAGTACCCTTGTTTCGCGCCCATTTGGCTTGGTATTTTTCCGGCACGTGAGACAATCTGAGCGGGAGGTTTGACGTCGAGGTATAATGATGTGCACCGTCGATTTTTGTCCGGTACACACCATTAGAACTCGACTGTCGATAAACGAAATCGAGACTTTGCATGGTATCATCTTGTCTCGTGGACAACACCACTATAAACTAGAGATTTCTTTGCTTCTGTGTTAGATAAAACTGAAAGAAAACTGCAAAAATGTGCAAAAAGCAAACATGGTTAAATAATACATATTTGAGGTACTCTGTACAATTGCACTACATTGTCCCCAACCCCGTGCACTACAATGCCCCCAAGCACTTTTTTCAGGTTGACTTCAATATCTCAATAAAAACAAAATTAAACATCAAAACAATACTAAATTTTTGTTCAGAAGTAAATTTTACATGGAAAAAGGACTTACCCGATACTTTTTTAACGAGCCTTACATTTTCTTCAAGTCACTAAAAAAACGGAAATATGGTTTCGAAATCTAGTGTTTTTGAAGTGACGCCACAACTTCTTTTAGAAGAAGCACAATAAAGCCAAAATAATATATACATTACTATAATTTGATACCTTAACCCTACCATATTAACGGCAAGTAATTCAATTCATTCGTTTAGTCAGTAAAGCCAGTGCACTACATTACCCCCTGCACTACATTACCCCCCTCTACTCTACTCCTAATTTCAAGACGTTCTGTAGGCGCAAAATTTAGTATTAAGTTTGTTAGGCAAAAATTTGTAAGAGAAAAATTTACGAAAAATGTAAAAACACTTGTATAGCCAAGTATGTAAGGCTGAAGACAGGTCTATAAACCAATAAATAAATATAAATATACAAAAAGTTTATATAATTATGTAATATTTAAATAAAAAATCCGCAATTCCAAAAATATTTTCGTATATATGAAAAAATAAATTCCCCAACTTCATGCATTTTTCATCATTGAGAACGGTAACCTCCCCTTAAATATTTAAACTTTGAAAATAGAAATGTATTTATTCATAGGTAAATAATTAATCTGAGTAACATGTAAGTTTACTGGGTTTGCAATATACATATACTTACTGCAAAAAGCAAAATGTCTTTAAAGTACGCAGATGCTGAGCTGCAAATTTTCCTACTGGAAATTTTAAGGTCATTTTGCTATGAGCAGTAAATTTGCTTAAAGTTTTATGAAAGCTTATAGGTTATTTCTGTATGTAATTACAATCTAACTAAAAAGAAAATATAAAAATTTTTTTATTTCAGGTGCCAAATGAAAATCAAGTTGATGAACTTATGGAATGTGATAATAACACTGCGGTAAGAAAAAAAAATGCAATTTATACACTGAGAGAAATTGACCCAGGTTAATACAACCAGAAAAAAGTGGTTAATGAAATGCAGTTGCACGGAGAAAAAAATAAGGTTATACCAACCGGAGACCCCGGTTAAAACTATTTGACCGATACAGGCGTTAACATAACCTCTGATTCCCAAGTCAGCACAATTTGACAGCCAGGCAGTTTTGGCCTGGCTGCCTCAAGTAGTGTCAATGGCTGGATCGATATCGGTAGTAAATTAACTGACGAAAACTAAAGACTCAACTGGAGAGCCAAGTCAAAACGGCCTGGCTCTCCGGTTATCAATACTTGACTTCATAAAATTAGCATGATGACTCAAAAGAAAGCAGTTACAACTTTTTTTTTCTCTCCGTATGCTGGACCAACTTAAAATTGTCTCTGTAACATGTTTTATGGTTACAATAACCAGGAATTTAGATATATTAACTAAAATTGCTTAAGAAAACAATTCTAGTTTAGTAGTCCGGAGTAAGCGCAGTAAGTCTTTATACTTTCTGCTATAGTTTGACTTTTAACACAACGTAGAATGCATTTGTCAAGTTTTTATTTTAATGTATATTTTATGTTTTTTCATCTTTCTTCTTATTAACAAAACTGTGTAAATTAAAAGTGAATATGGGGCAAAATCCCTGAACTGCCCAGGTCAAAAAATTTATGTTACTGAATTTTCTTGAAACTTTTACAAAATAATACTATTATTAGTAGAAGTCTAGATATAAAATATTATTGAATTTAATAAAATATTTTTTGAGTTACAGAGTTTTAAAATTTTGAATTTTTTTGAAAATATATTTTTTTCGATTTAATATATTGATAAATAAAATTAATCAAATTATAAGTGTGTATAGTGACTTTGAAAGGTTTTAACACGAGTTACAAGCTCATGATGAAAAGAAAGTTGTTTTCTTTCAACTTGACCTTAAAATTCAAGGTCAAATTCTTGATTTCAATATATCTCAAAATCGATTTTTTAAATCTTTTTCTAACCTATCCCAATGGAAAGCTTACCTTTTTTCCTATGTGAAAAAATTTTAAAAATCGATTTTGAGATATTGAAATTAAGAATTCGACCTTGAATTTCAAGGTCAAGTTGAAAGAAAACAACTTTCTTTCATCATGAGCTTGTAGCTCATGTAGAAACCTTTCAAAATCACTATACACACTTGTAATTTGAATAATTTTACTTATCAATATATTAAATCGAAAAAAATATATTTTCAAAAAAGTCAAAATTTTGAAACTCTGTAACTCAAAAAATATTTTATTAAATTCAATAATATTTTATATCTACACTTCTACTAATAATAGTAACATTTTGGCAAAGTTTCAAGAAAATTCATTTTTTGACCTGAAAAGTTCAGGATTTTTTCCCAATATATATATGCTGTTGATACAAATCTTTTTAGGGTGGAGTCCCATGGCACCGTTTTGGGTTGTGTTTTGTAACTAGGCCATGAATGCAAATGATAGCAAACATATATCTCCATCTCTCTCACACAAAAAAATTTTAAAAATAAAATTTTTTTGGAAATTTTTTCAACCTCTGCACATTTTTTAAAAATTGTAGAAAAAATTTGAAACTTACATAAGTGTGATCATTCAAGCCTCATCTTTAATTTAAGACCAAGAGAGTTTAAAAATCTTATTCGGTTCGTGAGATATCATTATAAACGTCCGAGCATGTTTTTTGACAAATGCAGTGAATTAGTCGATTTTGAACGGTTTTTGGCTGAAAATGCTCTGCCGTTTATAATGATATCTCGCTAACCGATTAAGATTTTTGAACTCTTTTGGTCTTAAATTAAAGATGAGACTTGAATGATCACACCTATATAAGTTTCAAATTTTTTCTACGATTTTTAAAAAATGTGCAGGAGTTGAAAAAATTTCAAAAAAAATTTTATTTTTTAAATTTTTTTGTAAAATTTGTCAATCGCTGCAAACTTTGTATAAATTATTAAAATTTTCAGTTATGTATCATTAATCGTAGAATTTAATTATCTTTCGAATGGTATATTTGTTAATTTTCTGACATTTGTATTTACAAAAAAATCGTGATTTAAAGATTGGTATGTTTTTGGGCCGTGCGCGTGCAGCCGTACCGATAATTCTCGACGGTAGTGTAATTTTAACCTCTTAATCATACATAACATATTGATAACGTATAGATAACGCTACATGTTATAGCTTTACATCCACATCCACAATTTCAGTGTCAACCATGATTCTAGATTAAATTAAATTTATATTAACCATGTTTTATCGAAAAATTGGTTGTATGAACCAGGAATTTCTCTCCAGTGTATGTGTCGTAGGTCAATAAATAGTTCAGACCATTATGAAAAAAATTTTAAATTTCGAAAAGTAACGACCACTTACTACTTTTTTTGCTTTTTATTACATGAATTTTTGCAAATTTTATTTATAAGAGGACAAGAATGTTTTATAGTATTCAAATTTCAATATTTAATTAAAAATGTATGTTTACGCTTCCATAGATTTTTAAATAATAACGGTTTTAATTTCCATTACAAAATAATGATTAAAAAACCAACCCAATATTTCCAAAATTCTTCCCTTTTATCACGTCCAAATAATTCCGAATACTTAATTTTCCTGTCAACCATAATTTCTAAAAGAATTATATTTTTAATAATATTTACTGGAACTTTAAATACAAAATTAATTGTATTATTTTTTGTAAATTTTTAATAAGTGTATGAACATTATGAGATAATATATTGACTTGTGTTCATAAACTTATTCAACAAACTAGCTGTCGTACCCGTCTTCGACGGGTTTTAGTTTCTACCAATACATTTAACAGTGTGTCTACTAATTTGGAAAATAAGGAAATAGCTCAGGAATTTAATTTGACCGGAAAAAAATAATAATTAGTTAGGTACCATTATAGCTATTTCAGTAGGAAAATATTACTATTTGAATCAGTGATTGACTTTTTATTATCAAATTAGTTATTTTAACCAATTCAAATGCAGAGAACAATATTTGTCAATTTGTAGTACTTTAATTAATGCATTAAAAATTTATCAAATTTCCCACCCAGTTTTTGGAGTTATAGTAGAGTCTAATTGGAACTAATTGTATCGCAAAGGTTACGACTGCTAAAACCTAACATAAGACCTATATTTTAGACTGAAAGTAGGGCTTAAATTTTGACCCGGGTCTGTTTTCATAAATATTATACATCAATAAAAATTAAAGTAAAAAGCAATTTTTTAAAAGCGAATTAATATAATGAAACTTTTTCTTAATTTGATTGGAAAATTCCCAGCTTTTTCCAGTTTTCCCCGTTTGGTAGTTACCCTGTTAAATGTATTAGTAGAAACAAAAAACTGTCGTAGACGGGTACGACAGCTAGTAATATAATCTATATTTTATATGAACTTAAGAAAGAGTATTTTCATAAAAATAAGTAAATTTTTATAGCCATTTGTAGATTTATTTATGGATAAAATCAAGTAAATTTAAATTTAACAAAAAAAAGATAAACCGTGAAAAAGGACAAAGCAGGAAATTTTGTTAAATAAAATAGACACCGTGTTAACTTTTGTCTTTACATTGCTCAAAACATCTCTAAAAGTTAAATCTAGAGTTAAAATAAAAAAAACGTTTTAACATATAAGTTTTTGCCTAGTGGCATATAATATGCTTGTATTGTATCAGAGGTGACTTACAATTCTTGACATCCTGCGAAATCATTTTAATCATAAAAAATTTCCATTTTCAATATTTCTGAAATTCTTGAAAATATTAGATTAATTTGATAAATAATTCTCAATTACACTATTTTTACGTCAAAATAATAATCAGAGACTCCAAAAATACTACTGAATTAAACTTCATAGTAATTAGTATCGATTTTTTGATATTGAAAATATTTTTATATTTACTTATAGGATAGTATTTTTTGCAAAATTATGCTAAAATCTGACTAAATAACATATAATATTGAATTTTAGAAAGTTTAAAAGCTATCCATTAAAAATGTGAAATTTGGAAATTTTCCATTTTTTGAAGTTTTTGAAAATATTTTTATATTTACATCTTAGTTATAGGATAGTATTTTTTGCAAAATTATTCTAAAATGTGACTGAATAACATGTAATACTCAAATATAGAAAGATTAAAAGCAATCCATGAAAAATGTAAAATTTTGAAATTTTTGATTTTTTGAAAACATTTGTATACTTACATATTAGTTATAGGACTTTATTTTTTGCAAAATTATGCTAAAATGTGACTAAATAACATGTGATACTCAAGTATAGAAACTTTAAAAGCAATCCATGAAAAAATTAAAAATTTTGAAATTTTCGATTTTTTGAATTTTTTGAAGAAATTGAATATCTCCCGTTCTAATTAATATTTTTTAAATCTGTAAATTTATAAACCTTCCTTGGGTCAATACCTAATAACCTACCAAGTTGGACTTAAATCGATTTACATGTTTTTGTGTGATTGGGGTACAAAGTTTTTGTGACAGACATACGTACATACATACGTACATACATACGTACATACATTAAATTTTTTAAGAATATTTTTGGAATCCCTGATGTCCATAATAACTAATCATGTTAACATTTTGAAGTTTTAAGCAATGTACAGACAGACATCTGATTTTATTAATAAGGATTATCCTTTATCTCCTTAATTAATATTACTCTTTCTACTTAGAGATTATACAGAAATTAATTTGAAACAGAAATATTATCTGTTTTGATCCTCCATCAACATTATGTCTGTGAGGGGCATAAAAAATTTAAATTTAATTTGTAGATGTTAAATACATAAAAGTTTGGAAATTAAAGCCGTATATAAGACAGAAGTTTTTAAAAAAATGCCTTTGTTCTAATACTTTTTAATTAAATATCACTTTTAGTCTAATTTTTTTAATTTTTGTAATGAGTTCAAATATAAAATACTTCAAAACTT